TTTGTATTTTTTTAATGTACATATAACACAGCCCAGCAAAATTCCAACAACTACAGTGACCACTGGTTATAAATGTATGTATGTATAATTTGCTTTCTTTTTATGCTGTTCAGAAAATGCCTCCCTGCATCTTCATTCTCCTACAGTAGTGTGAAAATGCGTTTTTTAATACAATAGAATAATCCCGTAGGAATCAACTAGCAAAATTTTGTTGGCCAGTGTATCAAACTCAAATATTTATAGAGACTTTTTTCAAAGCCGGTTTCCAAGCTTCTCCCAAAAATTGGAAAGATTTCCAAAAAAGCTACCAAAATTATTGGTTAGTCGAACAATCGCGTGTGATCGCTAGACAACTAAAAATCCATCACCATTTCTTATGAAAAAAAATAAATGCGAAAAACTGTTCGCAACTAAAAAACTTACTAAAAATCAAGGAGATTTTTTTAGCCGCTTGAGAATTGCGCTTTATTTGAAGTAAAATTCAAATATAAAACTGCCTACCTAAAAATCTTCTAACGATTCAGATTAAAAAGTTAAAAATTGTGATGAAAATTTGTTAAATTTTCCTAAGTTTGTAAATATTAAAAAAAAAAAAACGAACACGTACGTGGTCACTTGTTTGAGTCACCGCATGTATACGGAAACTCTATCACGGATGCCAATTTGGCGATTTTCTACAAAAAATTTAAACTTTTTCCTTATTGTTTATCTAGTACTCCACTAATTAGGGGAGAAGCCACGCACTTAGAAATATGTTTGAAGCGCTAATCGTTTCTTATCTATGGAACGTGAATGCGTCAGCATATTTTTATTTATGATTTTTAAGATACCTTAAAAATGCCTTATCAACCATTCTGATTCACTTCGGGTATCCCAGTGTCGTTATATCGTAAAAATCAATGTATGTACATATGGTATGTATTTGCATGCGTGAATTAACTTTGAATTCAATTAGAATTGTTCTTACGTTTGTTTTTTAAATCACATGTTGTTTTGTCGCTTGCGAATCGTTTTAGTAGATAAAAATAAATTTGGCGCTGCGAAAATGGGCGCATCTCCAAATGTCAACTGATATATTAACCAGAAATCTACATATACACTATGTAACAGAGTTATTTATATGTAAATGTTTATACATACAAAAAAAAGCTTGATATAACGAACCTTAATAAAACGAAAAACTCAATATAATATATTGACGATTAAAGTTCTGCTAACAAAAGCCTCTAAATAACAAAATGTCGACTCAAAAGCTTCTACATAACGAATTCTGAATATGTTGACGATTAGAATTCCGTTATAAAAAAAAAACTAAACTATATAGATACTCATAATCAGGGAACGGATTTTTAGGACCGAGTAAGCAGGAAAAGGCAAAATAAAATAGCGAAATAGGCAGGAAAAGGCACTAGAAATCAGGAAAAAAGGCAAAAGAAGGAACTAAAAAAGGCAGAAACCGAAAAATAATCAAAAAATACATACAAGTAAAAAGATACTATGAACTTGTTTCATTATATGAAAAATTTCTACTCTGAATCTTTAAAACTTTAATCTCTATAGTTGTTGTAACATTAAACCATAAGATGCATTTTGAAGTTTTCTGACAACATTTTCATTCGATTTTCGCGAAGAAATGTACTAAACGTGCGCTCGACGTGAGTTGATATAAGGGCTTTTTCCTTGCCCCTTTACAACTAAAAATTATCATTATATCGTGCGTGAGTCCCAAGAAATTTTGACATCTGATACTTCACAGCATGTTGCGTCACTCTTTCGCCAAGAAATAATGGAACAGGCATATATTTCTGGTGCAAACATAGGTTGCCTTGTGCTCTTTTTTCCACAGCATATATTGTAAAAAATTTGCTGTTCCAATACTTTGTTCCGGCAGTGTAAATGCGTGTAAAAAAAACACTGAAAAGAGCCAAAATACATACATATGTGAGAGTCGTAAAATATACACAATTTTATGATTCGCTTGGCAAAGGACTGGCATTCTATTATAACTACATCTACAAATAAGAAGTAGTAACAAAAATGGCATACAAACTAGGGTGTTCGATTACTCGCCTTTTTTCCAAAACCAGGTTTCGAGTAATTCGAAAAATTGCAATTTGGAAAAAACCGGTTTTTGATTTTGAAATTTAGTAAAACCCGGATAAACCGGTTTTATTTCCATAGTTTTCGCAAAGTGAAAATGCTTATGCTGGTAAGAAGGCATGATCAAAAACTACAATAAAGCTATTACCAGCAAAGATAGCTTTTATTTAGAAAATAGCAAAGCAGAACAGTTTACAGTTTTTTTACATCAAAAGTAAAACAAACAAAAATAAGTGAAAATTACACGTTTGGTCTTATTTTAACTTTATTTTAATACTTTATAGGTGATAACTGCCACTCGGGGGCTCCATGATTCAATTTCTACACATCAGCAGACAATGGCAAACCTCCGGGTGTACTTCTGCTTTAGGTCTCTCCATTTGTGTTACAACATCAAGAAGCACTGGTGAAAACCGGTTTAGAAAAACCAAGCCAATCACCCTAATAAAAACGTTACATAGTGTTTAAACATTCTTTTACGATCATCTAATATGCGAAAATTATGTACGTACTATTTTTAATTTGCTTTTCTTCTTTTTCATTTACAGATTTCGCTGTCACCACCCAATCAAAAATAGTCTTTTACGATGAACATTGGAAGGAAGTTATGTCATCGGCTCATCAATTTGAACATATCGGTGCAATCACATTCGATGAAGCCGAAGAGAAGATATATTTCAGCGATGAGTTACACCACAATGGCAGCATTTTCTCACTCATGATACCCAAAGACTACGAAGATCCGCATTTAATTGAGAAAATGGTACAGCGCACAAAGAATGAAGCAGTTCGTTCGCTTGCATACGATCCACTCGATCGTAAACTCTACTGGAGCGATTTATTGAATAAGAAAATCCTAATGATATCTGTTGATGCTAATGAAACTACCACACCAAATGTGTTTATCGATTTCACTAAGGAAGTAACACTGCCCGATGGCATTGCTATAGACTTTTGCCGTCGTCAACTCTATTGGACCAACTCCAATTTTTCGAATGCCAGTATCGAGCGCATCGGTTTAGATGGCAGCGACCGTACAGTTATCGTGCGTGGCGATATGTTTGCACCGCATGGTATTGTCGTGGATCAATTGACGGATCGTATTTATTATGTAGT